CAAAACTTAAATTAAGAACTTGCCTTGATTTTAATAGAATTAATAAAAAAAAAAGGAAATTTTCTAGTATAAACATAAATAATAAAAATTCTTTAATAATTTTGAGCACCAAACGGGACACTGAAATATAGGAAATGATGGGTGAAGGGTGAAGAATAACATTCAGTAAAATATAGCTAAGGTTTAATTTGGGAAAGCAGGAACATTCTTAAACATACACACAAACAAACTCACAAGATCCGTGCTTTTTTCCATCAATTAGAATAAAAAACCTTAAAAAAATAAGCTGATCAACCAAAAAAAAAAACTAAAATGAAATAACAATACATACCTAAAACTGATAAAACAAAAAACGAACCTAATTGTGCATTGATTAGTAAAGCTCAACAATTTCAGTCTTTAAAAGTTTAAGAAGAATAACATAGAGAAAGTGAAAGAAAGAATGAGAGAGTAAAAATTTTAGATAAAATCATAAAAAACAGGTGGATGTATAAAATAGTGGAGAGAGTTTTAAACTTTTAATATGTGTGACATGGAATATATATATTAATGCAAGTTTTATGAGTCTGGATATATGTATAATATTTTTTTTTTTTTTTTTTTAAATTTGAAGGGAGGCGTGATATATATATATTAATAGAATTTTTTATGGGCATATATAAACAATTTTTATTGGCATATAAAAAATTTTTAAAAAAATGTGAGGGTAGGGCAGGGTCCGCCCCTGCTCCTTGGTGACTAGTAGAGATAGTCATTGGAGTTTTATCCAGCTGATAGTTTTAGGGTCTCAAAGATAGTTGAGATGGATAAATTGGTTGAATACCCGTTATTTAAAAAAAAAAAAAAAAAAAAAAGATCAAATTCTAAAAATGGGAAGGATGAAATACATGGTTAGGATTGGTTTTTACAAGATATACAAAAACATTAAATGGCGTTTTTGAATTTCTTTTATAAGTTGAAAAACAACTTTTCTTTGCTCAAAAACGTTTTTTTCATTCACCAATATATATCTTTGTAATTGTTTTCAGACTTTCGAAAATAAAATAAAAAATTTCGACTTTAGAAGCACTCAAAACATATATAATTTCATTAAGAAACAACGAGAACCTACAATTATAGAGTTGTATGTTATTATTATCATTGTTTGTATCTCTAATATAAGATGAATCGGTACTCACTTCCTCATTAACCAGAAAAATTGATGGATCTAACTTTAATTATATAAAAAAAGGTGGGATAAGATATTTACCTAAGCCGAAAAGGTGTATTGATAAACCCAGGTGAATTCTCTAATAGCAAAACTTATGTTGTGATTATATATCTAAAATTTACTCAAACAAATAAAAAGTGGGATTCAATGGGTAGATTCTACATCTACTAAACTAGGAACATTCTATAACAAAAGTGTACGTGTGATTACAATGTAGAATTATTTAAATAAATAAAAAAGGGGATTGAGAAACTCCTCATCAAAAATTGAAAGTGGATGGATCTTATGACTAAGTTTTCAAACTCCTTCAATCCAGACCACTTGCTAGGAGGAATACCTTACCCCGACACTAGAATGCGAGTATTAAATTCATACATATTGCATTAATGTATATATTATTATTTTTATGGGAGTGTCTGGGATAGTTATATGCATTAATATTCTTTTAAGACTTTGAAAACTTAATCAGATACGAACTTCAATACCTCAATATTAACAATATAGGGACTCGAATTAAAGACTAATCATATTATTATTACGCCAAGTAGGTCTCGACATGGGAGCATAATTGTTGTCCACTTTTCCAGTGGTGCAGCATTAACATATATGTGTGATAAACGATGAAGAATAATTTAGTTTTATTAAATAATAAAAAGCAGGATTGAACTCCTCATTAACCCCAATATAAAATCTAATAAATCCTATTAAAGGAGGAAGCTTTTTTTTTTTTTTTTTTTTTTTTGCGTAAAAGAAAGAAAACATTGGAGAAAATGGTCAGATAGATCAACAATCGATCCATGACTAGCCCTTGACAATGCAAATATTGAAAATAATAATAAGAAAAAAAAAATTTCGTGGGGTAAAGTCTAGTGGATCAACAAAATTAAATCCAGTTTAGAAGTCAAATAACACTTTGATTGGAGAATTAAGATTGATTAGATTTGATCCAGTGCTAATCCGACTAAGTTTTAATCCTTGCTAGCTATACCACATTTTCTTTTTATTTATTAATGGTTTATGGAGATCAAAGCACTCCATTAATTACACTAATCACAAAGTTTATTACACAATAGGACAATATTTTCTAGATTGGCTGCTAACGGCTGCAAGTTCTGTATTTTAGAAATTAAATGGATGAATTTATTGTTATTTTGTATGGAGTTAAGGACTTTTTCTCACCAAATAATAGTTTAATTACACTTTCCATCGACAGACTTATTAAAATACATTTTATTATCTAAATTTATATTTCGTAGCAAACAAAGAGCAAACTCGATCTATGCGTTATCTATTCGTTTACTCTTATATTTATATTTTCATTAAATAGAAATAGTTTATGAGTGGTTTAGAAGGTTGGGAAGCCTATTTAAAAAATACAATGAGGTTTGAAACATCACTAATTAAATTTATATTAAGTGCTTTCAAGAAATATTCTAGTGCTTCTACTTTCATTTTAAATAAATTTGGTATATTTAACTAATATATTATAATATAGATAAAGGAATAATTGTGAATTATAATTTAATTATGCATAATTAAAAACACTAAATGACCAACAATTTTCTATCACCATCTTGGTTGCTAATAGAGATAGTCATTGAAGTTTTTATTGGTCTGTAGTTTCAGGGTCAGAGATTAGTTGAGGTGCGTATAAACTAGCCTAAACACCTGATCATAAAAAATAATAATTCTATCACCAATTATAAGGGTTAAATAAGATAATATATTGTTATAAAAAAATTGAAGCTCTTACTTGGCCGGTAATTTTAGGGTCCCAAGAGATTAGCTAAGATGAATAAGTGGTCCGACACCTCGATCATTAAAAAAAAAAAAAAATCTATCACTAATGAGGACCAAATAAGATAATAATTATTATAAAGAAAATGGAAATAGATATTGTTATAATGTTATCTAGAGTATGATTTGATAAATTTGCATACATGTGACACGCAAGAGACACCAAAAACCAGTGTTTAGAAAGTGCTTATTTTAGTGGTGATAATGATTTAATAAATTTAACAGTAATTAAAATCATGGGTGTAATAATAATATGGAAATTAAGCATAATTATTCTTTTCTATAGGTAAGACATTTGTCGACAGTCGTCCCCACCAGATCATTGCTGCCACCAAACAAGATTTTCCTGGACACCTAACCCTAATTTTTTTTTTATATAATATTTTTTCTTTTGTTGTTGTTAGGAGCCAAAAGCTCCAGAGTGCTTTAAGAATGGCAAAGCTTCAAAGCAATTATTCTTCCAAAAATTAACTTCCTTTATTTTAGGGAAAAACTTTACAGGTTATCTTTCAATTATTAGTGTTTGTGTTGTCGTGTACTCTTGTTTTGTTTTTCTTTTTGACAAATATCACCCATGATCCTTGAGTTTTAGGCTAATATCAATTATATGGTTTTAAATTTTCAATAGTATCAACATTATCCCATGCATTTAAATGTCAATGTGAGTTTTACAGTTTATTTCACGTACCTTGTAATATCGATTAATACTAAATATATCCACAATTGTTAGAAAGTATTAAAGGAGATTTATTTTACTTTTATATGAGGTTTTGATAATCTTAGAAGGTGCTTTTGGTTATCCAACATAAATTTTAATGATTCTAGGAGATTATAATACTTTTTGATAATTACTTTTGGATGGTCGAATGATTCGATAGAGATTTTTGAATGTATTACTCAAAAGGTCTTGAATTCAAGTCCCTCATCATTGTTAATAAAGGTAACCACTAAAGTTTTTACCTAACTAGTAGTTTTAAGGTTCTAGGAGATTAGTTGAAGTACATGTAAGTTGGTCTGGACACCTCTGGTCATATATATAACAGATCCATTTGTTTAACCTAAAAATCTTAATAATATACCATAAATTTTAATACACCAATATTCACAAGTAAAAACAATTAAGAAAATTGGGGTTTTCCAGCTATACGAGACTTATCATTAATATTTTTGAAACTACAAGGAGTTTGGTTGATATTTTTGAAACTATGAATATTATTATGAAATCAATCAAAACTTGGGTAGTGTGGATAATCTTTTCCCTCTAGTTCTAAAAATTATAATTTAATAAACTCCATGATGACATATTGTGGGAACTGGGAAAGGTGGTGAGAAAATCTGTCTTTGAGTGAAAGCACAAAGTGTGTAGTCAACAAGGCTTTCTAAAATTCATAATTGATTTGAGTGCTTGTCCTATGTACAATTAAAGAATTTTAAAAAAAAAAAAAAAAAAAAAGATTTGATTTTACACTTATTTTGACCATATCATCAAGGATCAGATGCCCACATCTCAATTTCATGGAATCATAATTCTCCAGTTTCAAAAAGCCACTTAAAATTCTGCACAAAATTTATTCTTCACAGAAGGGATGCAAATTTGGATTATTTTAGTGCATCTCAAATGGGTGGAAATGAATAGAATCAGAATACACACTGTGCAACTAAAATATATAGTCGGTCTGAGGTTTAACCAAGTAAATATTATCTGTTTTAAGTCTTAACGAGCATAGTTTTACTTACTTTAAGATATTAAACAAACATCGTTCATCGTTCCACCCAAGCCATAATTACTTAGTTGAAGAGAACCCAGAACTTATAAACTGACTCACTCACGAACAATGTAAGATGTAACAAGCATATAACATTTGTCTTCTGCATTTCAAGTTTGGTTCATCCATATCTAACTAATCCAAACAATAATTTGAACTGAAAAACCAGAGATACATTCATATGAGTTAATTGGACGATCTGTCGATCCTTTTATACTAAGTCAATCTTACAGAATTACTCAGAGGAGAGCAGTAATGAGATTATAAAATGTTCAATCATTGAGCAAGGCAGAATTACAGCTTATCTATTAAAGGAAGCTGCAGGATTAATCAATAGCCAGCAGCAACCTCAGATGTTCACAGATGCAAATAAAAGATCCATAAGTTTTTCTCAAAATTGCCATTCCAGCCATATATGAAACATTCATAGCCTATAGAAGTAGAAATACATTACTTAATGACATTTATATGGACAAATTAATCAAACTCCCTCTTCTTACAATTCACTGCAGCTTGAAATCTCCAGATTCCTGGGAAACAAATCAAGCAAATGTACTTGCATCAATGCAACAATATGTCAAGAAAGAATTATGTCATTACGAAAATAAGGAGAAATAATAGAAGATAGATACCTAGTTTACAGCATTCTTCAGACAATAGATCCAACATTACACTTTAGAATGGATGACCTTCTGTAGAGAGAAAAAAAGGGAAAGGGAATAACAGCAGATGTGGCCCCGAATAAAATCAGCCACCAATTTGTATCTTTGTGTTCCATTATATATATGAATGGTTTCTTCATTTGACCTAACTAACATGAATGAGTGGTGAGAGCAAAAAGGAAAAAAAAAAAAATTCTCTACCACCCCAAAATGAAGGCATGTACTTCAGCCCAACTTGAGACTGTATAAAGAATGCCAGATAGCCCCTTCCAATTGCCGGAGCTTCCTTCAACGTATTGCTTCTGTTTCTTAACCAAGGCAGGGTACAATGGTACAAAAGAGACACCAAATTGACTTCCCACTCTCCTTAAGCTTGAACTAGATCCAATCACAATGCCTATATCGGCCTTAAGCAGACATAGTAAGTCACCCACTGAATCTACAATATAAACAGTCAATTTCTTTCTGTCACTGCCGTAGTTCTGTACTATATTGTTGAAAGCTCGAACCTTGTCTGTGGGAGACTCCACTTTCTTAACAATTTCGCCGGTGGAAAGGGATTCTTCAAAAATGAACTCATTTGCATGTATATTCAGAAGATTTAGACCCCCTGCTTGATTAAAAGAAAAATTCTAATAAAAAAATGTATTGAGTGTTTTAACAAACCTCAGAAGGAAAAAGATTGAGAATTTACACACACACAAAAAAAAAAAGGGAGAGAGATCGTGAAGATTATAAGCAGATGTTTAAGAAATCAAATAATCCGTAAGCTGCAGAACACTTGTGGAATTAAACTAAAATATAACTGATGACAAAATAACAGGCAAATCAAAATGGCATAGGATACACATTCAACCAACTACTGATGTAGTTGAAAAGACATCTCCGATCAGCAATGATGTCATCATCGAAGTTTTATAGGAGAAAAATAAAATTCTACTGATCCTTTTGACTAAAAAAAAAACTAGCAAGCAGATGGAACATGGACATAATGGAAAATACAGTTGAAGCCCATCAAAGAATTGCAAAGCAATATAAAATTTTGTAAAGCTCTTCAGATGATATTACTTAGGTAGTAAATTCTTAGTAAAGAAAAAAAAAAAAAACTAGTCTTCTTGTGTTGGAGTGTGTGTGTCCATCTGCATGAATGTATGTATGTTTAACATAACTAAACAGGTCCATATTAAACGACTACCTGTCCCAGCAAATAACTTTTTTGCAGAAAAAAACCAAAAATACTGGTCATTTCAAAGCATTATGCATGCCAAATACAGAATTGACACTAGAAGCAGTCTGATTCATATAATGTTCAATATTTTTGGGTATAAAGTAAATGAGTTATGAAGAAGGGAGTTGAAAAACCTCTAAACCACAAAGCAATGCTGGACTTACGTTTCTTGCAAGTTAAAATGTTCCTAATCAAACAACTTATTTCAATTTATTTTTGTATTTTCAGTTTTTTAAGTACTATTCCATCAAAATTCTATTCAATCTCACAGAGCCAAGAAGCAAGTAATTTTGGTAAACCAAAATGACTCCATTTTAAGGACAAGAGAAACTGAATCAAAAGTATTGGGAGTCCCATCCCTTAGCGTGACTCAGACTCACTAATATCTTTTAAGCATTATGTTCACAAGTTTGAACTTCAGGTTTCCACCAGTGAATAATAAAAAATAAAAACTGCAGCCAGAGCGCATATATATATATATAACCTTTGCAACATCTTTTAGCCTGTCTGCATAAAAGTGGAAAAATCATGATTTCTCCATTTTCCTATTTCTTTGCTTGGTAGGGGGGTGGTTTTGGGCTTCTAAGTAAAGAATACAAACTTATTTCAGTCCAAATCTTATACTAAAGCAAAATAATAATGATATAAATAAATTATAGAGAAAAAGAGACATGGAAACTTTGTGGTGGAATAAGTTTATACAGTGGGCTTATGGTAAGACAGACAAACAAAGACCAATCTCAAAGTTATTTTTTACAAATGGGATACTAGAGCAGTAAAATATAGCACTAAAAACGAGAGATTGGGTTTTCTCTACTAAGTTGCTAAAACTATTTTTAACTGCAGAAGGTCAAGTATCTACGTATTAGCATAAATAAGCACAATTAAGTGAGCAAAGTCCAAAAAGATAAGCAAGTTGAACTTTCATAATCTTAACATAGCAAATTATGGCGTCACTCTATATGTCATGAATTCTGCATTCCAAAATTCTATATGTTTAATGTATACCTGCTGAAAAAGCTGCTCTGATGAGATCACCACACCAACAATATGAAAGTACGTGGACATTTGCATTCAAATTTTCATTCTTTACAATTTTCTGAAAGAAAGTAGTACAACCATCTTGAAGAATCCGGCGTTCACCAGCTCGTTTAATGTCTTCAAGATTTACACCCTTCAGTACTCCAGACTCACTCACTCTAGAATTCGCCCTCTTCTCAAAGTCTGAGAGTTGCTCAAGAGCGTTATATAAAGCTTCATAGTTGAATTGCTCCACTGCAAAATCCCACAAAGTCAAACCCTAATACACTAAAACCAGAAACTTCATCCAAGAGTTGGATGTTAAATTGTCATGCAAAATACCTTTCATAGAAGGAACAATGCTTTCAATGCATTGTTCATACTCTTCTGTGTACTCTCTGGAGAGGTCACCCCAAGTATTCCTCAACTCAGCTGATGACATCCGATCAAGTTGACTTTCAGGTTGATTTTGGTCAGATTTTGGGGCTGTCACTATTGCGATCTCTGCCAAAATGGCAGAAGAATCAACAACAGTGCAAGTCAAATCAAAATCAGAAAATATAATAAGATGATCTCTGGCAGGATTATGCTCCTTAATGAGAGGAACTACAGTGGGCTGAGCAAGTGGCTGTGCATTGAAGAACTCAATTTCAAGTTTCATGGCTTGGTGATAAAGCTTCTCTATGATGTCTAGTTCTTCGCCTGTCAAAGAGACACTAAGTTTATCCAGCAAGTCCTCGTTTTGCAGAGCTGATGCCTGAACTCAAAGAATACAATATTTGAAATGAAGAAATAGTGCCATCTAGGTAATTCATTTTCCTCCAAGCCTAAGCAAACTATTATCAGATTCCCCATTAAGTAAAAAATGACATTACCATTCAAATAAAGACATACCTGAAAACTTTCAGAAGAATAATTGTCAATCCACTTCTGGTAAGGGTGATTGCCTTCATTAAGATCTAGAAATTCCTGGAATTCCTTACCAAGGAAAGCATACAGCCTCATGCAAGGTGACATAGCACCCAATGTATAAGCTGCAACTTTTGTTCTTTCAAATGGAGTTGCAAGTTTTCCAGGACCTTTGACACCTTCAACTTTCCCAGATGCTGTTGCCAACAAGAATTCCGTATACTTTACTGTTGCAGAGTTAATAGAAGCCTCTTTAGCAAGGTCCAGACCCCACTCCTGCAAGACTCAAAACATTCAGAAAACGAAAATACTATACTCCATTACATGAAAAGAAATAAGTTTTACTTCCATAAATCAAAATAAAACCATTAGTAGACAAACTTCGTTGTAACTTAGACAGCATTCGAAGGAAAAGTTCCATCTTCTTAGAGAAAATCCAGAGCATATCTTTCGTAATAACAAGAAAAGGTTGCCATTGAGTCAGGTAAAGTGCCACTCAGATCAAAATTGTTCATTTCTTTTCAAGCAAACTGTCAATACTAAAAACAAAAACATCCAAAAGATTGTATCTTGGCAGTGTCTAAAAAACAAAACAATTAACCATCCACTAAAACCAAAATCCTATGCTTTGATTATGGTTTAAGATCTAAAATCAACATGAAAAAGGCATCACTTTTTATGCAGCAATGAATGCTAGGACCATTGAAATATTGTAACTATCAAAGCCAACTGGATGTTTAGTCCCATAATAGTTTGGGCAGTTAACATTCCATAAATTCACAAGCCAATTACATGGAAATATAATCTTCAGTATTCAACTACATTCTTTACCTAAACTTTTAAATGAATTATTTTATATTACCTTTACAAATGAATTGTGCATTTTTAACTCCTCCAGAACACTCTTCCTCAATTCAGAGATTGAAAGTTTTGCATCATCATCATCTGCACACTCCTCTGCCAATTCATACCTGAATATGCAAACAGACCCCAAAAAAAAAAAAAAAAAAAAAGTGTAACAGCCACCAATAGATACCTAGCCCTTTAATTCTATATACACAGCGTGAGAGAACTATATATAAATATTCTTAAAATGCAAATCAGATGTTGATTTAAGCTTTAGAAACAGAAATAAAGTAGTGCAACGATTTTCACCATCAATAAAAGTCTAACACTTCATTTGGTTGCCGAGAAAGCACACTAGAAGAAAGTGGGGATAAAAAGCCTTCAATCATATGTTCGATACTGCCCTTCTTTCCACAAACAATAAACTCAACCTTAAAAAAGGCCAGCCAAGTGAATTATGTAAATGCACTCGCAGTAAAGCTTCAGTATTCTCAAGCAATGAGAAAACCTAGATATTTTTTTCTTATACTTGTGGTACTATCCCAATCATCTCTTTTAATTAATTCAAAACTAGATTTACAATATCAATTCCTATATATTTACAATGATCTATCTCCAGCACCAAAACCATATCCATAGAGCAAACGTGCCAAAATTCCTACATATTGTAATTATATTTAACATGCCAATAGTTATATTTTCTCATTCAATACATTTATACTCAAACCAATCTTTTTTCTTTTTTCATATTTTGGATAACCTAGAAATTTCTAAATAATCAAATCAGTCCATTCACTCTATCATTCTATCAACAAATCTTTTTGTTGAAACCACTGAGTGTACATAATCAATCAATTGAACAATTTTTCTTTTTTAGTTTTCCCACACTTCGTCAGCAACAAATGCTACTCAGCAGATCGTATATCAAAACAGAATATTAAAATTTCATCAAAAGGTCATACTAGACCTCCCAAACGATCAACCTCTCATATATCAAACACAATTTATGAAAATTCTAATTTTCTAAATCTTTCTTTCTCAATTTCTCAGCAATCAAACATTCCCCGATAATAAAAATCTAATACTACTTATATTTCTTTTCTTTTTCCTATAGTTCCGATCTTAGATTTTCAATTTTCTCTTAATGTGCCACATTTTCTCGGATTCGAAACATTCCTAAATCACAAAATTCAATATACACAACATTATCCCTCTTCCTAGACCTTGCAAACACTGAAAGAAACACAATTTGGATCTCAGATTCTCACAATCTTGCCCATTTTCCGACATTTTCTCAGAAAGGAAACAGACCAATACGAGACGAAAACCAAAAGAAGTCCAAAAACCCACTTACGCTTGAGCAAAAGCTTTAAGAAAGTGAACATCTTGGGCGATGTAATTCCTGAAGGTGTCAATCTTTAGATTTCCAGAAGCTAAACAGAGCGTAAAGGGAGTGTACATAGCAAAGACGGATTCTCTCTTAAACTTGATCCAGAACCTTCTGGCGAGTCCCTCCTCCTCGGCGCTCGGCGATTTCGGAGGAATCGCCGCCATCGAGAGTGCCGATCTTTGAGTTGTGAAAGAGGGGGGTGAGTCGACTCGGAGGAAAGACGGGAGCAGTGAGTCGGAGAGGCCGTGTCGGATTGGGAGGAAGTTAGAGCAGGAGAAAAGATGGGAGAGTAATGGGGTTTTGATTGGGTTTGTGAAGAGCGCACGCATCAAAGAGACAGAGAAAGAGGAAGAGAGAGAGGGATGAAAATCAAAAAGTTTTTCTGTTGAGTTGGAAGTATGTATTATTTTGGTATTTGTTTTTGTTTTTGTTCTGTTGTGGATGGGAATGGGAATGGGGATGGGGATGGGGATGGGGATGAAAAGGGAGGGAAGTTTTTATCAAGTGGGCTTTTTTATTATTGGGCTTTTTAGTTTGGACTTATTTCGATTGTTGTTGGGCTTCAATAATATTACGATTTTCATGAGCTTTTGTGTTCTAGTCCTCCCAACCACTAATAGGGGTGGCCACTAGGACTTTTACCTAGTTAATAGTTTTAGGGCCTTAAAGGATTAATTAAGGTACGTGCAAACTGATTCGAATACCTTGGTGATAAAAAAAAAGTGCAGTATAGTAAAATTTCTCTATAATCATAATGGTAAGATTAATTAATTTTATTACTCTAAGGAGGTTATAACTTAATAGAGGTGTGATTACAAAAATTTCTTTATAATTTATGTTTTAGTAGTACAGTATTAGGATTTCAATTGATGTTTTAATACTATTAAGATTTCAATTCAACGCTTTAATTGCCTATTTTTGAAAAGGATAGAAGATCGTGTCTTGAAACCAACAAAGATAAGTGTCATTGATAGAATTGTAAATGCAATTGTTGCATGGTCAAATTGATGTGAAGTCACAAACTATTGCCAATTGTTTTAATCATTACAAAATTATGCAGCAAATTGATGTAAAGCCACATATTATTGCCAATTGTTTTAATCATTACCAAATTAGGACCCCGATATCGATGAATTGCAAATTACAAATGAAATGGATGAGGAGAATCAAAGAGTCATTGTAGAATTTAGTAATCAAATTCGACAACTTCATTACACTAATCGAATGGATATTAATGTCTTTCTCAATCATCCAAATGAGCAATACGTCATGTATACTTTAACTAAAGAAGAAATCATTAATACAATTAGACAAGAAGATGAAGGAAATAACCATGAGGATGATAGTACGGAAATACAAAAAGTTTGTGTCAAAAAGCTCTAAACATACTTGAAAAACTAGAAATATATGGCTTCAACAAGAAGATATTCATGCTGTTAAGAAATATGGGTTATTTTGTTTTATTGTTTATTAAGGGTAGATTTTTCTTTTCATTATTTTCTTTTTTTAGCCTTTATATATTTCTTTGTATTTAGGTTAAATCATACTTTTTGTATTCAATTGAATTGTGCAATATCAATGAAACCCTAGCCTCCTCTTTTTATTATTTTCTTTGGATTGTTTAACATGTCTCAAGCAAAGTTTCATGGGACGAGCTTAATCTTAAACACAAGGGTATCGTTGTCAGTTTCTGCAATCTGATATTTCGTTGGTATTCATTCAATTTCGGCAATCTGGTATTTCGTTTTTTCTTTCTTTTGCATTCTGGTTTCTTTGTTTTTTTTTTGAATATGGCTACTGAAAGAGACATTCGCTTCAGTCTGTAAGTGTGAGGTTAGATGACAAGAATTATTCGTATTGGATTATGTGATGAGAAATTTTCTTAAGGGTAAAAAGATGTGGGATATGTAGGTACACAGTTAGGTACACAGTTAGCGATTATGAGACAACAAAAAGGTTTAGGATCATCTACAAAAGTTATCTACTCAGTCAAATTTTGCAAAGCAGTATCAATTGGAGAATGACATACGAGCTCTTCGCAGAAATATGAGTGTTCATGAGTTTTATTCTGCTATGACAGATCTTGGGATCATTATGGCTCTTACAGAATCTGCAGAATTAAAAGCATGTGGTGCCTATATTGCTCATAGGGAGCAGCAACGGTTGGTACAGTTTTTAACGGCACTTCGTAGTGATTTTGAAGGACTTAGAGGTTCAATTTTGCATCGTTCTCCAATGCCTTCTGTTGACTCAGTTGTCAGTGAGTTATTGGCTGAAGAATACTTCTTAAGTCTCATTCTGAAAAGGGAATTCTTCTTCGACTTCTAATCCTTCTGTGTTAGCAGTACCTTCGAAGCCGTCTTTAATAATCAGAATAACCTTACACACGGGTTGCCTTCGACGAGTGCAGTTTCTGTAAGCAAAAGGTCATTGGAAGCTCAGTGTCCTAAGTGAGACAGCAGAATCAATCGCAGCAGCAATCTCAAGCTTGGAAGCCTGGCAAACCAGTCCCAATCAATGCTCCATAGACCACCTCGGGGTTACAAACCACCACAGTCTAATACTGCCGCAGTAGTTTCATCAGCGTCCTTTCACCGATCCTAGTACTCGGCTGAGCAATTTCAGAAGTTTCTCTCTCTTACAACCACAAGCTATGTCTGCCTCTTCTTCCTTAGGTCAGTTACCTCATGTTCTTCAGGTATGTCACATTCTGTATGGTTTTGGATTCTGGTGCTTCACATCATATGTCTCCAGATTCTTCATCTTTTGCTTCTGTGTCCCCTTCGTCTTCTATTCCTGTCATGACTGCTGATGGCACTCCTATGCCTTTAGCAGGTGTTGGTTCTGTTGTCACACCTCACTTGTCTCTCTCTAATGTTTATCATATTCCAAAACTTACATTAAATCTTGCTCTGTGGTCAGTTATGTGATTCTGTAATTTAGTCACCTTTTCCTCTTCTTCTTGTTAGTGTGCGATCTACAGTCTCAGAAGCTGATTGGGAGGCCGTAGGAGGGGGGACTATATATTTTGGATGAGTAAAGTTGCCAGTTGCTTCGCTTGCTACTATGCGGATGCCTGCCGCTACTAGTGTTGACTTGTCTTCTTTTCGTTTGAGTCCTTCTTCTTCTAGTTTTTATTTATGACATTCTCGTTTAGGTCATGTTTCGTCTTCTCGTTTGAGATTTTTGGCATCCACAGGGGCTTTAGGAAATTTGCAAACTTGTATATTTCTGATTGTAGTGGATGTAACTGGCAAAATTTTCAGCTTTACCTTTAATCGAAGTATTTCTGTTTCTTCTCTCCATTTGATTTGATTCATTCTGATGTATGGGACCTTCTCCTGTTGCCACAAGAGGAGGTCTCGATATTTGTTTCTTTTATTGATGACATACTCGTTATTGTTGGGTTTATTTAATGAAACATCGTTCTGAATTTTTTGAGATATATACAGCCTTTCGAGCTCTTGTCAAAACTCAACATTCTGCTATTATCAAATGTTTAGGTGTGATTTGGGTGGGAATACACTTCTAATAAATTTTGTGAGTTGCTTGCATTAGATGGAACTGTTCCCCAAACCTCGTGTACAGATATTCCTAAGCAAAATGGTGTGGCTGAAAGAAAAATGGCACATTGTTGAAACTGCTCGTTCTCTGTTATTGTTTTCCTCTGTTCCTAGTGTGTTTTGGGTGAAGCTTTTCTTACTGCTGTAGGTTTGATTAATACAATTCCATCTTCTCCTATTCAGGTTTTTCTCCCTTCGAAAAGTTGTATGAGTATGCCCCTGATTATTCTTCCTTTAAAGTTTTTGGTTGTACTTGTTTGTTCTTTCGTCCTCATGTAGAACGCAGCAAGTTGTCCTCTCGATCTGTTATTTGTGTCTTTCTTGGTTATGTGTGAAGGAAAAAGGGTATCGTTGTTTTGATCCAATAACTCAGAAACTTTATGTGTCTCGTCATGTTGTTTTTCTTGAGCATATACCTTTCTTTTCTATTCCATCCACTACTCATACTTGACTAGATCTGATCTAATTCGTAAGATCCTTTTTCTGAGGATTCTGATAGTTTGCCATCTCAGGTCCTAGTACGGATCATCTGCAGGTACTGACACTTTTCTCTCTAGCACACCTGAACTCCCTCTTCTCCCATGGTCACTCAAGCTTCGTCTGAGATTGTGGATCCACCTCTACGTCAATCCATACGCTTCGTAAGTCCACAAAGTTACCAGATTTGCTTATTCTTGTTATTCTTCATCTTTTGCTTCTTTTTAGCTTCTTTCATTGTCTCTCTGAGCCCTCTTCCTATAAGAGGCAATTCTTGATCCTCTTTGCGCAGCAAGCTATGGATGAGGAACTTTCTGCTTTACATAAGACAGTACTTGGATTTGGTTCCTCTACCTCCTGTAGACTGTTGTTGGTTGTCGTTGGGTGTATAAGATCAGACTAATTCTGATGGATCTATTGAGAGATACAAAGCTAGGTTGGTTGCAAAAGGGTACTCTCAACATATTGGTATGGATTAGAGGAACATTTGCTCCTGTTGCAAAAAATGACCTATTCGTACTCTTATTGCGTATCTCGGTTCGTCAGTGGCATATCTCTCAACTTGATTGTTAAAAATGCATTCTTGAAGGAGATCTTCAAGAGAATTTATATGCGCCCCCCTCCTGTGTTTCACATGATTCTGGGTATGTTTGCAAGCTGAAGAAAGCGTTATGGTCTTAAACAAGCACCTCGTGCTTGGTTTGAAAATTTTCTATTGTGATCTCTTCCCTGGATTTGCTCTAGTATCATGATTCTGCTCTTTTTTGTTAAGTGCACTGATGCAGGTCGTATCATTCTGTCTTGATATGTTGATGACATGATTATTACTGGTGGATATTGATGTATTTTAGTTTGAAGACAAGTTAGCTCAACGTTTTGAAATGAAGGATTTGGTTCTCTACGATATTTCTTGGGTATGAGGTAGCCTACTCACCTAGAGGTTTCTTCTCTCTCAGTCGAAATATGTTGCAGATATTCTTTGAACGGGCTAGACTTATTGATAATAGAGTCGATACTCCGATTGAGGTAATGCAAAATATTCTTCTCTCTGGTTTACCTTTGTCAGATCCTACTTTATACCGTACTGTTGTTGGGAGTTTGGTATATCTCACTATTACTCGTCCAGATATTGCATATGCTGTTCATGTTGTTAGCCAGTTTGTTGCTTCTCCTACTACAGTTCATTGGCAGCTGTTTCTTCGTATTTGCGGTATCTTCGGGGTACAGTCTTTCAGAGTCTTTTACTTCCATCCACCTCTTCCTTGGAGCTGCTGCATACTCTGATGCTGATCATGGCAGTGATCCCTAGATCGCAAGTCTGTTACTGGTTTCTGTATCTTT